GTATAGGTAGAAAATGCCAACTCATCATTTTAATTTGCAATTTCTTTGGAAACTGTTGAGAGGGAACATTTTCTTATAGGTTATTTGTTGATCAAATTTCTTCCTTTTTGGTTTTATCTTTCTGGCTTTGACCCATTTTCTATTGATAGCACTGATCTTAAATTGTAGGGACTCAATAAATTAGTTGGTTCTGTCATAAATGTTATAAATATTGTCCTGGGTGGATTTTGTCTTTTAGGACAGTTCAGAATGTCCTGTGGTAGAAAGTAATTTTGAGGTTTTCAAGGTCAACTATATTCTGTTTCTTTATAACTTCTGCTACACGAAATTAATATATTCTCCCTAGTCTAAGATCATTTGATTTTTATTTGTATTTTCTTCTATGTCACTAGTTTTTGAAGTGTGCAATATCTCTTCAAAGTCTGAGACAAGGAGACCTTTTTGGCATTACCTTTAGAAAAATGATAGTGGGGATTCATTAAATATATAGACTGGTGAACTGGTGAAACCACCAAGAGCATCCTGGCAAGGGGAAAGAGATTTATTTGTGTTTAATATGTTCATGACGCACCTATTCCTTATACTGCATCCAGTATCTGTTAACTTGCTCTTCGAGTATAAGAAGTTTAAAATGGAAAAAGTTTAGGTCTAAATATTAAAACTCTGGGATGTGCTACTCTCTTCTCGTTGGCTAGAACAGAAGCTTTGGCTGTCAGAGGCCTTTGTTTTGTTCACTGATGTGCTGCAAGCACATTGCAGGGAATGGCAGGCAGTTGATAGCTATGTTTTGGAGGATGATGTTGAATCAAGTAGAGTTATGGGTGGGCCAGGCGTTGGGTACGACAGCCAGGTGTGTAATGAGTTCTGGACTTCATTGTTTCATATATTATGGAAATGCAAAGGAAGAAAAACTCCAAATGAAGGCATAAACTAAATTTCAGTTTTACTCTTTGACTGCAGAGATATTAATCTGTGTGTAAAGGTGAAGCTGCTTCAAACCTGGCAGAGTAGAATATGGTGTAAATGTGAAAAATATTCAGAGAGAAAAATTCTGTTGGCCAGATATTAAGTAAAACAGTGACATCTACTCACCAAGAGAGAAAAAAGACACTACATTACTTCATTTGCTGCTATGGCATTTGTCCAGAACAATAACAATCAGATCTGGCTTTATCTGAACATAATAGGAAAGAAACAGTCCTCAAAAAGATTCATTTTCACTGTTTGGGGAGGGAAGGGAACACTCTGTGTAATAACAGAAAAATCAATTATTTTTCAATCAGATGGAGTGTCCTCATACATTCAAGGCAGACAGCATGGGATATGCCTTCATGAAAACAATGACTATGGGGAAAAGAGTTTGGGATTGTACGTTCAGGTGGCTGCTAGGAAGAGCTGTTCCAAGAGCATAACGTGGTTCCTGTTAGTGTGGCTTTGTGGACTTGTATGGTGGTAGGTACTGAACAGCCATCATTCTGCCCAATTTGCTTCAAATATAGCCCAAGCAAATATTGTTTAAAAATGAACAGTGATAGGGCCTCCCCTTGTGGAGCAGGCAGTTGAGCACCACGCTGTTAAGCTGTCCGCAGCCTCTGCAGCGCCAGTTTGATCCTGGCCGGCTGGTGAGGGTCCCACATAGTGGGGCAGACCTCTCCTGCCTCTCCCACTGCTCCCCTCAGCAGTGTATTTCGTCAGTCTGCCTGTTCTGTTCCTCGCTCTGTCTCTGGTGAATCCTCTCACCCTCCTGAGCATCTGGTCTGTACCCCGGTTCTTGTATAAAGTAAATAAATAAATCTTAAAAAAAAGAACAATGATGGAAATAAAATAAAATAAAATATAATTTTTAAAAAGTAGCCCATCCTGCCCAATTAGCCTCCCATTTGGCTTTGCTGTGTGTGTGTTTTTTTTTTAAATAATAAATTAAAATCTTCTCTTTGCAGCATAACACAAAGAAAACATAAACTCAAAATATTAATCCTTCTTACTAGCAATAATTTGATACTGTATATAATACATAGGTATATGTAATAACAAAAGAAGGACCGAGAAAGAAGAACGAAAACTTTTATAAATCCTAAATTATAAAGTTTTTGATCAACACAAAGGTTGGAAAGCTTATAGGAAGGTAGAAATATTACAGCAAACAAATCTTGCCCAAAGCTCTAAGGAGAGTATAGAAGTTGGAAAGATGGGTTCAAATCCACAGACAGGGCAGAGAGAACGGATACCTTGAAGAAATTTGTGTACCCACAGTTTATTTAACATGTAAGGCTAGAACATAAAACGATTTTTAAAGCTGCTTATGATATTAATAAAATATCCATTGATATGCATATCAAACCAACACATCCCATGTCCACTAACCTCAGAAATGGCACCAGGCATAAGGTGAGCTTTGTGGCTGGGAAGGCCCTCCTTTTTTCTTTTCAGCCACATGCACACACCAGCAAGCAAGGCAGCTGAAGGCAGGAACTGCACAACTTCCTGGTGTGCCCTCAGACCCTCAAACAGACAGAAGTTCAAGACTGTGAGGAATGAAGACCCTACCTGGTGACAGTGCTTCACTGATCATAAGCATAGATCTATTAACTGAGGCAAAAATGCCTCTGGTGGGGGGGGGGTAATCTCATAATTTCTAGAGGTATCATCTCTGATTGATCCAAAAGAGCCGCCCATGCCTAATTGGCACTGCAGAGGAATAACACTGCACCCTAGAATGCTGCCGTCACTCTCTAACCCAAAGCCTCCTACTTAAAGTGTCCCGTCAGCCAGCTGGGATCTGGAAAGGGAAGACAGTATCACAGTGCACATCCAAGGACAAGGAAAGTACCCATTCTAAGTATCTCTCACTTTCTAGGAACAAATCTACTTAGAAAATCAATCAAACCTACAAAAATATTCCCAAGATTCTAATTTACATATCTGAATTGTCTAGTTTTATTTGTGCCAAGAAGATCTGTTTCCCTCCAGACGGTGACCTAGTCTTTGTGTTATGCTAAGAAAAACCATGAGAAAAATACTGACCTAGGAAGGTACATAGTATGCTTAATCACTACTTTAAGTTGAAATAACATGAAATACAGCACTCAGTGCACCTCTCAAGCAGAACATAACTTCCCAAGCAACAGACACACCTACCGAGACACTTGAAATTTCTGAGCCTGTTTCCCAGCTGTGAGTTAAGAGCCAACCCATGACATCAGGCCTGGAGTCGCCCTGGAGAAACTTAGGGCAGGGCTGTCACAGCAAACTGAGCTTGCCAACCAGAGATTTCCCAAGAGCTGTCTTAGCTTTTCAGTACACCAAACTCCAAATAATAAAAGCCAAGGTTTGCAGTGACTATAATGATAGAGATCCTCAAATTCTTTCTTCAATGATGATCTTCGGGAAGAGTCTTCCAAAATACCTTCCACTATTCCCAAAGCTCACTTCTCAAAGGCTGCTTAAAGGTACAGATTTAAGTGTGTGGGGATGGGGGGGAGTCAGCATAAGATTTTCTTCTCTTTGACTTGTCTCAAACAAAAACCTCTCAAAAAATAATTGCCTCATTGTTTTTTTTTTTTTTTTTTCCTTCCTACTCTTCAGATGAGGCAAAACAGTCTCTCCTGAGAAACCAAACAAATGGCTATGAGAAAAAAATAGCACTGGAAAGAGTTCTTAGTACTAGAATCCCAACACGATCAATTAACTTTCTGAAGTTCATGGATTCCATAGTACCTTTTAAATACCAAACCACCTGTAAGTGCTATTTAACTCAATCATAACCCATAGAGAATGAAGTAACTTATCTCTTCTTACAAACCTCTGGAAATGCCTCTTTCTTGTTTGAAATAATTCAGTAGCTCCCAGAATCAGCTCCTCACCTCCTACTTTGGGCTTGTGTCTGCAATCTTCCACCAGAGCAGTAGTTCCCAACCAGGGGTGTTTTTGTTCCCTGAAGGGATACTGGATTTTGTGTGGGGACATTTTTGGTTTCACCACTGAGATGCAGGTAGGAGATGCTACTAAAGTCCGCCAATAGAGAAGACAGCCTCCATCTTACAAAGAATTAACTGGCCCAAATGTAAGCAGTGTCAAGGTTGAGAAATCCTGCTCCAGCCATACCAAACTCATTGTTTTCCGGACTTTCTTGTATGCTTCTGTGCCGACAGACACAGGATGGTTTCTTTACTTGGAATGCCTAGTCCTACTTCTATGTCCAAGAAATTACTTATCATCCAGGATTCAACTCAAAATGTCACCTCCTCTATATCGTCTTTTCCAGATCCCCCAAAGCTGGATGTGCCAGAGTTTCTGGTACTTACCTCATTAAAATACTAGCCATGTTGCCCCCACATTCTCACCAATGGAATGCAAGAATTAAGCCTCATTCATTGTTTATTCCCAGAGTATCCATCTGGTAATAAACCAATACTCACTGTATCAATCATGGAAAAAATGGCGACCTGTGTATGTACCTAAGACTCAAAACAATGTCTAAGGGACAATATCCCCCAACTTAAAAAACAACAGAGGCAATTACCTATCAAATGCTAACCATGTGGACAGACACTATAGTAAGCACATATTAACTCATTTATATTTATAATAACATTATAATGGACATACCATTATCACCACAATTTTACAGAGAAAGTGAGGCACAGAGAAATTAAGCCACTTACCCAAGGCAACCAAAGTTAGCATGTGGAAGAGTCTCACTCTTCCAATACTCATGCCAACTCATCCATGTTAACAACCAATGTTTCAGCTGCTCAGAGAGCTCTGGGAAACACAAGTGATATCTCTGGAAGACTCTACAACCATCCAGTGGCCATCAGTTCATGTGACCAGTACAAAAAACATTGCTTTCTGGGGTCACACAACTCTCCAACCTCTAAAATGCTTCTGGCAGGAGAAAGTAACCACCTCAAACCATTGAAAGTACATATTATGCACTCAGGAAAAAATCATGTTACTGAGAGAAGAAAAAAGGGCTGGTTCCTTCAAGTTCCTCTTACCTTGTTCATGCTGTAGGAACGGGAGCAAAGGATCAGACATGTCACAATGTGAGGCACCTCTTGAAGATTCTCCTTGTTCCTGTAGACCGCACTTCCCAAAGCAGACAGCAGTGCTGAGGACACAAAAAGAAAATTCATCAGCCAGCATTCAGGAAGGCACAGAGCAGTCCTGTGTCCTGTAGAATTTTCTTCCATGACGGCAGTGCTCCATGACTATGCCATCCAATATGGTAATCACTAGCCACATGTGGCCAGAGGGTACTTGGAATGTAGTAAGTACAATAGAAGGCTGAATTTTCAATTTTATATAATTTTAATGAAATGTAAATGTAAATGGCAACACTTGGTTAGTGGCTACCATATTGAACAAAGTCAAATCGAGAGTCTTGTGGCCACAGACATTGGGCACTCAGTGGTCAAGAAAAAGTTGGATATTAAATGCTCAGAGTGAGTATAGCTACACTGGGACAGAGACAGCATTCAATCAGTTACTCTTTTTTAAGTACTTATGAGGTTATGGGTACTGAGGATATAGTGTTCACTAAGCTAGAGAGGTCAATTATTTAGGAGTTTCTACTTTAGACTTTGATGTTCTTAGGAAGGGAAAAGATTTAGCATCTGCGCAGCACCTACTATGTGCCAGACCTCAATGCCTTCCCCTGCTGCCAAAGAATAAAAGAACAGACAGGCATTTACTAGAGCCTGACTATACATATCGCTGCCAGGGTTTAATAGATAGAACCTTCCAGAGCTCCTTGGAAGACAATGTTCCACAAGGAAATTCAGGTGGCTAGTTTTCCATGAGCCAAATAAACCAAGAGGATTCACGTGCCCCTCAAGTAGCTTAAAAGTTAATATTTTTATCTATATTCGTGGTTCTATAGGTAGGTTTTCTGATTCATTTGATTGCATTTTGGAGTAAAATAGCTATATAGTTCCAGGGTGCTTTGTCAGATATTAAGGAAAAGTAGAAAGAAAATATCTTCTACCATTTAACCAGATTTGTAGGAGTTTCCTTTGAAAGATGTCTGTGGAATTTTAGAGGAAAACAAAGCATTGTAAAGTTCCTTACAATCACCTTATTTATTTTTTTCAGGTTGCATCTAAGGAGGAAAATTTATAAATAAGCCTTTCCAAACAAGACTGAAATTGAAAGTTGAATTGGAATTTCAGTGCTTCTTAAAATTATTAACTATAATGTAATAATAATATAGAATATATTCAGCAGGAAAAGGAGAAAGTACTCATAACTCTCACTACAATCACCTTTCGCTCTTAGCATCAGTCTTGGTCTATGAGAGAATGACATGAGGTGCTGGCACATTTGCTAACTGAGTCAGGATGCAAAGAAGTCCAGGCTGTATTTCCCATATTAAGCTCTTTGACTGTTAAAATGATTCTACAATTTACATTTTCAAAAGATAAACTCCTACACAACATTGTTGAACATAACATTATTAAATATAACATAACATTATTACATAACATAACATTATTAAACATAACATTATTAAACATTATTGAACATAACATTATTAAAATTCCTTTTATAAATAAGAATATAGGGAGAAGAAATTGCAGATCACCCCTGGCCATTTGAGACACATTGATTCCAAACAAAATACCACATTCAGTCACAGCAATAACATATTTTAACAATGATGTACGACACGGAGAGACCATGAATTCCAAACTATGGCCTAAATACATTCAAACAATCCCATATAATGCCTGGATAATCACTGCTTCAAAGTCAAGAAAATTCAGTATGTAATTCTAATCAATCTTAAAGTGACTGAAACATTTATGTGTATAACTTTTAGTCTTTGAATTTCCAGAAGTACATGCTCTAGTGAATGTCTGAGCTTTAAGCAGAGGTCCAGGCACGCTGTTCCCTTAAAGAGGGATTTGCTCTATCCATTTAAAAACTATGGTCTAGGACTTTCTGAGAAGCTTGTCCAGAAGCCTTGCAGAGATGCCTAACGTCACAATCCCATTCAAATGGACACGCTGGTATCAACACAGGAAAGGTGGGCACAAGAAGATAATGGTAAACAGACAAGGATTCTTGAACATAATTTCCCCGAGGAACTCCACCCATCTCCATCATGCCACAATCCCCACTTCCTCAGAACCTGGATGTGCAGTTTGCACTAAGCTAGCTCTAAAGCCCTTCCCCATGTCCCCCAATTTAAGTGTTTTTATGTCACTTTCATGAGTGTTGGCTCTACAACAAAGCATACTAAAATCTCTTCAAGGGAAATATTAGCCATGTAGAAAGTTTTTAATAAATATTATTAATGGATTTGTTGTCTTTGCTCTTATTCACAGAGCTGAGTGTGATGTAGACTTTCAACATCGGATTTTTAAAAACACCGTTGATAATCACTGCAGATAGCCTTTGGGTTTTTTTTGTGGGGGGGGCGCTGGGGTGAGGAAAGGAAAATCTTTTAATGCCCAGGACTGTAAATCTTTTAAAAAATATTGTTAGGAATATCATAAAGTATGTAGCACTCAAAACTGTACAATGCACACTATATACTCTTATTTAGTACTACTATCAATCTGAGTGGTAGTTTTTTCTAATTAGGAAACCAGGAGAAAAAGGAAAAAGGATTCTCAATTGTGCTGTAATAGGCTGTAGACCCAGAGCTAAGGGTGACTTCATTTCAAGGTACTATTGAATTAAAATATTTACAAAGACCAAACAGTATAAAAAAATACTCTTGTCCCATCACCCATCACAAAAGTGCTCTCTTTCTCCTCTCTCTCTCTCTCTCTCTCTCTCTCTCTCTTTCTCTCTCTCTCTCTCTCTGACCACCATTAACAGAAAACACCTCAGCAAACAGACGCCAGTTTTAGAAACTGGGTCAATCGCTTCTGGACAGCAACCAAAAGACTGGCCTTGTTTTATCAAGTCATTTCAATCTCCTTTGAAAAGAGAACCTGCATGTTTTGTAGCCACTTTGGTGTATGAAGAAGGTTATAGAAATCCACAGCTTTAAAAAAGCGACTGCATCTTAAATATAAAGCATTAGGAAAAAAGATATTTGCGTTATCATGGTAGAAATTATGGGAATTTTCTTTCTCATTCTATTTTTCAATATTTCCTTTTAATCATTCAGGAAGTTGGAGTCTATTGATATGAAGCTACAGGAAAGTACAGATACCCTGAAAGATTTCTTGAGAAAGTCAATCCCAGAAGCCATTGTGTGATCCTAATAGAAGCAGTTCCATGGACAACAAAGCCTGTGGGCAACCTGAGACTTGTAAAAGGTTGATGAAATGTCATTCATCTCTCCAGGTGGGTAAAGAAATGTGGGTAAGAAAGGTAGAAACAGGCAAGTAAGAAGAGATAAAAGAGAGAATGAAAAGCAAAGGCTCTAAAGAAAGGAGAAAAACAAATGGCAGATGAGAAAACAGACACCTAGAGACAGGTTCTGTGGTGTGGTTAAGTGCCGCTCACCAGCCAGGGTCTCCCTGTGGAGGTGGCTGAGAGATTCAGGCTCCTGGTGACGATGCCACATCATACGCTCTCATGGCCCAGGTGTCAGTCAGCAAGTAGGAGTTGGAGTAAAGTGAAGACCGGGCCTACCTGTTTCACCACTATTTATTTACCATCAACCTCCACCCACCACAGAGAAAAACCTATTTTACCTGGATCACTGCTAATGTGGTATAGAGGTATAAGCCAACTTGATTTTACTCTCCTTAATCTTAAGAGAAGCTTAAGCGTGTCAAAGGCTTGGCGTTTGAGTGTTGTGCTATTTCTTGGCTCTTGAAAATACAATTAATGCTTATTGCCAGTACAGAATGGAATATGATGTGTTAAACTCTTCTCAATCCAAATCCCCCAGCCCCTCCCTGTATGTTCATTCTAGAAGCTTTCTGTGATACAACTCAAAGCTGGGCAGCTGAGGCACTCTTATGGGTAACAGGGAGTGAGGAGGTCACCCCTCACAGTGAGAAAAGTATCCCTGGCTTTTAGATATAATGCACCCTGAGGTGAGTCTCTGGAATGGCCCTGTTTGTCCCCTCCTTACCACTGAATCCAGCAGCCTGACTAGAAGGCTGGCACATGGGGACCCAAGAGTTTGTGGGGAAGAACTAAGTGAAGTAATAAAAAGACAAACAGGCTTTATTGAGAAAAGGTTGAAAAGGCAAACCAACAAGAGTCTAGAGGAAATTCTCTAAATGTATGATGTAGGAGCCAGGGAAATTAAAAAAAAAAGACGTGAGAGAAAGATCTCTAATATCCTCCACCCTGTTTCATGTCTCTGACATTAACTCTTGACAACCTTTGATGACAATTCTTATGCAAGGCTGGATAAATGTGAGACCAATTGTGTTTCAAACCATCCCATCACTCACTCCCACAGTAACGGGCATGGTACTGAGATGAAAGGATCTAAAGGTAAAGTCACAAACAGCCTTGCCTCCTGCCCCAAAGCAGAGACTTCCCCAGCTGATTCCTTCCTTTCTTCCTGAAGAAGATGGGGGGAGAGCTCCCTGAGCTCCTCTTGCATTATCTTTCTCCATCCTCAAAGTTACAGCAGTCTTAGGCTATGATTCCTCAGGACTTTGGTGTCTGCACCTCCCGCACATTCAGGCAGCAAACATGCCAGAGCCTAATTCCGTTCCAAGAGACTGGACGGGTTTGCCATTCTGCCTTGAATCGGAGGTGCCCTGCCTTCACAGCATGCCACGGAAAACATGCAAACCGAGCCAGAAAGTGAGAGCATCTTCCCATCAAGTATCATCTAATGTTTTCTTCCCCAAGGATAGGTTAGTCAATTTGAAAATTAATAATCTGAAATTATAACCAGCACAAGTATTATGGCTGGTTCAACAGGAAATTGCGATAAGGATGAGGAAATGAGAGACTTGTAAATTATAAAGGAGAGACACACTGTTGGTAAAAGAAAAAACTGCCCTGAGTGCCAGATGGACAGAAATCAAGTTCAGGAAAGGGCCAGGAGTGTCAAGTTGGTGTGTGTCCACTGCTACTTTTGGTACACATGCAAGGGTGTCCTTACTTGGTCAAACCCTAAGTCAGGATATCTAACGTTGGGATTCAGGGTTATCACTTTATGAAAGTTCATCTCAGACTCCC